ACGCTGGATATGACAGAGGCTTTTTCTCTACCAGCCGGATCATCCTTGCCAACCAAGGATCGGTAGTAGTCACTTCAGCAATAACTGGTACACTACGGGATAGCACATCTGGAACCACATGTTCCTTGCCTTTCCGATGCACTATATCAAAATCATATTGCTGAAGCTTCAAAGCCCATCTCACTAACCTACACACCGATCCTTCAACTTCTTCCACCATGATGATCAGTGACGACCGTAAATTTAGCGCCCTCAACATATGGTCGCAGTTTCTCAACCGCCCACAGAACCGCTAGTCACTCCTTTTCGGTCGTCGAATAGTTTCGCTCTAGTTTGTTCAAGGGCCTTCTCAAATAAGCTATAACCCTCTCACCATCATCAAACATTTGCGTTAACACCGCACCTTCACTGAAATCAGAAGCGTCCGTCTGGATTGTAAAAGGCCTATCAAAACCCGGGCAGCCCAAAACCAGACCTGTCACCAAGCGGTCTTTCGCTTCCTCAAAACTCCTTTCACAATCTTCAGTCCAATTGAACTTTCGATTCTTCTGTGTTAAATCGGTGAGAGGCTTAACTAATTCTGCAAAATCTCTTATATATCTGCGGTACCAGGACACTGTTCCTATAAATGACCGCACTTGCTTTACGTTCTTCGGTACTTCAATTCGAAGTATCGCCTCAACCTTCTCTGGATCTACGTGTAGACCGTTCTTGTACACCACGTAGCCCAAATACTTCAGCTCAGACTTACCAAAATTACATTTTTCCCTATTTAATTCCCTACCTAATCTATATAAAAGGTGTTTCAAAATCTCTAAATGTTTCTCAAAATTATTTGTGACGTATTGCATCCTCTTGAACTGAAATAGTCCTCTACCGGGTAACGCTGTGAAGGGCCTCGACTGCTCCTCCACCGGAATTTGCAAATTAGCGGACTTAATGTCCACACTAGACAGAAACTTGGCGTCACTTAGCTTAGCTAAGGTCGCCGACAAGTATGGAAGTGGATAACTATCTTTCTCGGTACATTGATTCAAAATCATATAGTCTACAAAAAAACGCCCAAGGACTATGTGATTTCTCTATCACCCCTTTGTCAAGCATATCCTTAATCTCCTCGTCCATACGCGACTGTATGACGGGAGACACAAACAGAGGTATTACTGTTTTACGGGTTCAACTCCTGCTTCTACCCTGATCTTATGCACAACTAAATGGGTCCGGCCTTGCCCTTCCAGCATAGCCTGGAACTCACCAGCTATTAAATGACCTAATGCCCTAGACTCTCTATCGCCTAACTCGGAGTGGTTCACTATTGCCACCAACGGTTCTGGTTCCGGCCGAGAATATGGCCACTTCATCCTCGATATATCCGGGATAATACCCGCCTCGGCCCAAAAATCGGTGCCAAGAATCACGCCCTGAGGTAACTCTGGAACCACGAGGCATTCCAGGAGAAACGACTTGCTCTCCACCTCGATTGGCAACAAAACCGAACCTAACACCGAGATATGACCTCCATTCGCGAGTCACTCTCGAAAAGTTCGAGACAGAATTCGCTCTAATACCATACGCGCTCAGTTTTTGCGATTTTGAACAAGTGAGGTTAGCGATACCGTTGGTGGCGGACGGTCACGACGAACGTCCTTATTTGGATATTAAATTTCGTGGTGTTGTTTTAGGGCTTTGTTGGATTCTGGTGCCCAGAGGTCTATCTCCCGTTTTCCGATCTGTTGTCCGACCTGACAACCCTATCGCTCGATCGAGAATTCCCTTTTCTGTCATCCGACCTACTTTCTCTCAGGGGCCCTGACCTGAAGGGGTTGTGGTTTGGACCACCACTGGAAGCCGTACTTCGTTGGGCACCCTTGGAGCCGCTCGGCTTTGCTGTACACGCCGGGCAGTCCCGATTCATGACTCCAAGTCTTCCGCACCCGAAGCACTTAATCCCCTTCTTACACTCCGTCGAAATGTGTCCGGTTTGCCTACAATTAAAGCATTGGGTATTCGATCCCAGCTTAAAGCTATCGACGAGGTGCGGCTCTGCTACCGCCGCGTCCTCTACACCAGCCGAGACATAATCCAAGTCAGGCCTTATGACTCGGTGAAGGGACAAAAGCATCCACCGATGACCTAACTGCCACTAGTTGCCTACCCAAAGCAACTAGGCCTGTATCGAACCTTTCGCAACCAGCTTCAACTGGGTCTGGTAAAATGGTGGGAGATTCGCCCTAATCAATCCTAACATCCTCTCTGATAGAGGCTCCTGCAGCCTACCAAGCATAATTTTCGTAGCCGCGACCTATGGACTCGTTCGCTCCCTGAGTCCTTCTCCTAATCTCATCTAGTAAGAGATCGTCGTAGTTGGGGTGCAAAAACTTCAACTTCAACTCGCTTACTAACTCCTTCCAACTACCTAATGACTTCCTAACAGACCTAAACCATAACAACGCCTTTCCTACAAACAGGTCTATAGCGCAGCGGAAAAATTGAGGTTCTAAAAACGCGCAAAGCTTTTTCGCCGTCAAAGTTTACGTCCCACAGGCGTCGTATCTCCACGGGCGGGGGTGCTATCGGGTCCGCACGAGAGGCACCTGACAAAACAAAAAAATATACAAAACGGAACAGACTCACCAAATTCCTTCTCGATAGGTTAGACTAATCAAATCTCCAGTGGGCCTGGGTTAAACTCCCAATCTCTTCTAACTCCTTCCACTCGTGGATAGCCCTACTAATACTGAATAAAAAAAAGGCAAATTATTAATAATTATAAAAACAACAAAAAAAAACAAAACGCCACTGCTGAAACAGGACCACACAATATTTCAAAACACAACATCTTTTGCAAAATATATATATCTATAAATTTTGGGCTCCACGTTGGGCGCCAATTTGTCACCTCCAATTTTTATAATTACAATATGTATGTGTGTATGTACATACGTACATACATATGAATACCTAGAGTGGCTGTTGGTTAAACGCCTACCAACGTGTGTGGTTACACACGTCAAAACAAACTACCGCAAAAAAAGGAGATGACAAAAACTAACAAAGCGACCGGCCAGCTTAGTGAGGACGGCGTGGGTCGCTAGCTACGTACAATAACAAAACTATTCACCAAGTTAATCTCACTAACGCCGATATAAACAAAAATCGCAAGACAACAATTTGACAGCAAATTCGAACTACTTAAAACAATAAAATAAAATATGTTTTTGGGTGCACCCGAGGTGTGGTCCAACCGAACTGGTTACGAACCCACTCGCACTACTCCCGTGCTGCCGGGGGTAACTTTAACCCGCCTGTATGACTGAGCTCTGGGTGCGGGATGCTAAAAGTATGGGTGAGGACGTAACGGGAGTGGTGACACTGTCGGAACGACAAAACGTACGCAAATAATAAATGAACAAAATTATACTTATCGGTTGCTCGGTAGGGTGTGGGTACCCAACTTCGGTGCTCCTCCGGATGATGTCGACGCCAAGCTCTGGTTCCGCCACTGGAATATAAAAAAACCTATTTTGCCCTGGGCTTCGACTGCCCTTAAGGCGGCACCGCTTTTTACGGAATTCCCGCGCAAAGCATTCCGTTGACCTAATATTTGGTAGTGGAGGAACCGTTTTGGGGAACACCTCCTTTTGGAGACTTATACTCCTGGGTAGGCACACACCGAATGCAACTGTGCCATCAATCTATGGCTTCAAATAATGCAACTATTTGCCTGCGGATGTCACTGCCAAAGCTTGGAGTGAAAGGAAGCTTAGGCAAAACCAAGGAAATGAACAAACAAGCACAAAAGAGGTTTTTGTTGCGGCCAGTACGCGACAATACATATATGTAATATTTTAAATTATCCAAATTTGCAAATTTTTCTAATTTAACCATTAAAAAGTAATTTTACTATTATAATTTTATTATTTTGCGAATCGATGCATCGATAAATTTTGATACCATAGATGCACATAATTTAGCAGATATGGATATTTTTTTTTATTCAAAGCTATTTAATTCGTTTTTAAAATTAATGAAATAAAATAAATATCATGCAAATTACTTACTACTCTCTTACTTTATAACTACTGTGTATGTTACATTTTTCATGTTTCTTTTATAATTGAAACACATTTTCTTCTCCTTTCTATTACTTTCCAAAATGCAACCATTTGTGACAAATCTTCCTTGTCACCACTTATCCAAACCATAATTATTGAATCATGATTTGTTCCATGCTTTCGAAAAATATTTTTAACTGTCAAAACGAATTTTTAAAATCTTGGCTGGCAGTGTATTTACATATGTATGTGTATATGTGGCATCACCAAAATAATCTTCACATGAAACGATCAGATTGCAATACTTCATTATCGTGCATTCTTCTTTGTGGTTAACTTTTGTATGCTTAGATAATAAGAATAAAAGCTTACTCTTGTCCTTTTGGAATTGAATTTTTGAACTAAGCAGTGGTCTTTTATTTAATAACCTACTACGCATCATAAACGCTTTTCCTCTCCAATGATATATTTGCCATCGCTCTAGCTTATTTAGTTCGCCTGCTGTGTCGTGTTGACTAAACGTGCATTCGTGGTGCTCTTCAAGAAAATGGAAAAATAAAATCAAGAGCAACGTGTCACGATAAAATTTTGCGCAAAATTGGTCGAGTTATTACAGGCGATGAGACGACGTGGAAACCAAGCGCCAAAGCTCACAATGGTTGTCTCTGCACGCCCCTCGCCCGAAAAAGCGCGCTTGATCAAGTCGAAAGTGAAAACCATGATTATTGTCTATTTTGATAGCCTTCCAACGGGACATACCGTAAACCAAGTCTACTATTCCCGTGCTCCACCGCCCTGTGACCTTTTTTGTTCGCTAGAACAAACTCGGTGGTCAAAGGAACCCATTTTGAATCGATTGAGGACATACTGGCGGCCGTGACGAGGGTACTCGCGGACATCCCAGTCTAAGCGTTCCAGAAATATTACGAAGCATGGAAAGCGCGCTTAGAAGGGGATTGTAGAATAATTTTGAAATACACGGTTTTTATGGAATCAGTCTCTTTACTTAATTGACACACCTTGTAGCTTACAGTTGCTTGGAGAGGATGGAAAAGTTTGTATAAGTCACCCTGTATATCCAAGGTCATAGCGTTACAGCGCAAAACTTACTGAGGTAAGGGGAGTATGGGTCGCCATAGCCATACTACGAAAATTCTACTGGCTAAAGTTAAACCAGTCAATACTGTTGTATACGGCTCCTATATGGGGAAAATCTCTGCGTCAAAAACATGTGCTAATCAGGCAAATGCAGTTTTCAGGCTCCCTGAAAAAAGGTTTAAGTGATACAAATAAGTGCACATAAGAACCTTACCCGAGTGCGATACCCATTGGTCGGTTATAGCTCGGGGAGCATCTGAAGTGGAAATTATTCACAAAAAACTGATAAGTATAAAAGTTATGTTTTCTTATATATTTACCAATTTTTCCTTTTTCACTGCAATTTGAGGGTAAGTGAGATAGATACGAAGCGAATTCTTAAATAAAGTCAAGTGAAAATAAATACAGTTGATTGTCACCCAAACAGATCAACAGCTGTTTACAAAGTGCGACAATTTAGCCGAGACGCAACCCAACTGTTAATAAGGTGTGTCCACGGCAAACAAAAGCCGGTAAAATAATAATAATAATAAAAATATAAGTAATAATTGAACTAATAATAATAATAAAAATAAAAGCAGTATTAGTTCAAAACAACCACTATAATAATAAAAATTATAATAATTTCAAAAATAAAAGCTCTAATAATACATAAAATCTATAAAGAAGTGCACTCAAACTATGCGTGTTCCAGGCCGCCCCCACGAGGGCGGTTGAGCATCACGGCGCCAAGCGGCTATGTTGGAAATAATAGCGGAAGTGAGCCTAGTCCATTTGATAGGTTCACAAAAATGGCGCGCTCGCCGACTAGAACACGGGTCAGTTCTCCGTGCAACCGGCCACAAACAGAGTTAGATGCATGGAACTTGTTGGGGCTCAAGGTAAAAGATCTAGTCGGAATGTTGGAAGATGGCAAGAGAAGATCCATCATTCAACTGATGCGTGACATCAGATACCGATAAAAACATCACTCATACAGTTAATATAGGCATACAAACGAGAGACCCCAGGGACAAGTCCGCTTCCAAAAGGCCTGCTACCACCACGAAGGCGTCCGAAGAGAAATGAGAAAAGTGATGATGGAGTTTCTGCCAATAAATGGAAATTGGTGCAAAGGAAACAGAAACTGAGTAAGATCGCGAGGAACACAGTCAAACCCGGCGCGATTGTTATCTCAAAGGACATATTAAGGCAAATGAAGCAGCAACCAGATATGAAAGAGCTTGGTGAAAACATGAATAAAATTAAAACAACAGCAAGTGGAAATCTGCTAGTCCAACTCCGCGATAAAACTGGCACACTTGCAAGTAAATTTAAGGAACGAGCGTCTGAATTGCTTAAGTCTGACGCAAGTGTGATTGTATTAAGTTGCAGTTTAACAGTAGAGATTCGGGACATAGACATGGCTTCAACGGCCGAGGAAGTCAGTAAAGCGTTAAGAGGCCAGTTACCTAAGTTAAATCATGGAGAAGACGTTATACTGAAGTCGCTGAATCTCTCTGTACGGGATGCACAAATTTTGGTGGAGACTGGGCGCATCCGCATAGGATGGGTGAGTTGCAGAGTCAGGGAAGTTACTAACCCAACCAGATGGTATCGTTGTCTGGAATTTGGACGTATATCAAGAAACTGCAAAACCGCAGAAGACCGCAGTAGAATGTCCTTGCGCTGTGGAGAAAAGGGCCATATTGTCAAGCTTTGCAATGCAACACCTAAATGCGTGATATGTAAAAAGGAAACTGATACAGACCACCCCACTGGTAGTTTTAGGTGTACGACATATAAAAAGGCGATCACGCATCTTAAGCAATGATTAGATGCGTACAAATCAATTTGAACTAATATGAGGCGGCCCAGGACGTCGTAAAGCAAACAATCTCTCAACGAAAGATTAACGTTGCACTAATCTGTAAACAGTACCGTTTACCCACAAGAGAGGGAAGCTGGCTGCACGATAAACGGGGAAAAGCCGCAATCTGGGCATGTGGTGATGTCCCGTTTAAACAAACCGGTTCTAGCCAGCGTGAAGGATTCACACAAGCGAAAATTGGGGGGGTTCAATTCTACAGCTGCTGCGCCCCACCAAGTGAATCACTGAAAGGTTTCAAAAACATGCTAATACGACTAGTTAATGATGCTGCCGGAAAATCACCGGTATTATTGCTGGAGACTACAACGCGTGGGCGGTGGAATGGGGTAGTTCAAAGACAACAATGCCAAGAAAAACAAGGAGAAACGTAAGAACTTTAGTTTATTGGTGAAACCCAGAAATAAAGGAGCTGCGCGCTCAGAGCCTTAAGCTTCGGCGACAAGCGAGCGTGATGAGCTTCAAAAAGCTATCTAGAAAAGCAAACGGGAGGCCTTCCAAGAACTGATAAGGGACGTCGATGATAAATCCTGGGGTAGTGGATATAACGTTGTACTCAAAAAATTAAAAGTGAGCAACGCTAAGCAACCAGTGTGTCCTCATGAAACACATCGTCGAGGGGTCATTCCCAAAACAGGATGAGTATATTGCATCAAGCGAAACAGCAGTGGATGTTGCAGAAATACCACCTGTTAGCAATGTGAAGTGCTTGCAGCGGTAGCAAGGATTAAAGCAAACAAATCCCCAGGTGTTGACGTAGTCACAAATGTTGTCCTCATGTACGTTGCTAAGAAACGGCCAGAACTCTTCAGCAAATTATTCACAAAGTGTGTACAAGAAGGTATTTTCCCAAAACGATGGAAGCGGCAACGGCTAGTCCTACTCCCCAAAGGTAACAAGCCACCAAAAGCGCCGTCGGCAAACAGGCCTCTGTGTATGTTAGACACAGCAGGCAAACTATTGGAGGCAATCTTGAGTTCACGGATTCAAGAAATTACTGAAGGAGATCATGGGCTTTCCACTTGGCAGTCGCAAAGCTCTCGAAGGGCAAAAGATGGTTGGAAGGGACAAAGCAGTACTGCGCCACTATAACTCTAGATGTGAAAAACGCGTTTAATTCTACCAACTGGCAACAAATAATAACAGCAACAAGAAATATGAATGTTCCGGACTATGTAATACGTGTAATCATGAGCTATTTTAGCGAAGGAGTGCTACTGTATGACAGAAACGAAGGCCCCATGAAGTATAAAATAACAGCGGCCGTGCCACAGGGATCGGTCTTTGGACCGCTTCTGTGGAATATAATGTAGGATGGCATTTTTAAAGTAAGAAAACCAGAGGGCGTATCCATCGTCGGTTATGCTGATGACATAGCTATTGTAGTGGTAGCAAAACAACTGTCTGACGCAACACGAAGGTGCAACGAAACTATGGCGTCCGTGAAAGCATGGCTTCTAGCGGCAAAACTGGAATTAACAGACCACAAAACAGAGGCTAATGACCAGCCGGAAAACGGTAAAGGCCATACAAGTGGGAGTAGGTGGCTGCATAATAGAATCCATTACAACAATTCGGGACCACCGAGCTTAGTTTCAAGGAACATCTGAAATACGCCAACGGAAAAGCAGGTAAGGTCGGTGTGGCTGTTGCAAGACTCATGCCCAATATAAGAGGCCCGAGGCAACAAAGAACGAGCGAAAGTTCGTCTATTCTAATGTAAGCGACACCAATCTGGGCAAATCACACTTTGGTACCGGCGTATCTGAGAGCCCCAGCTGCGGTACATTTTTTTTTTATACAGAATTCATTTATTTACTGGATCTGCTATAATATAAGCCTAACAGTAAGTGTACAAATCTTTAAAACTAAATTACAAACATGATAGCTCGAGTTATTTAACTCTGAGCCCTTTTCAAACTAGGGCGCCCTCCTTAGAAGGCGGGAACATCTCTTCGTTGCAGGCGGGAGTTTCTCGATGGGTTGCATAAAGCATTAGCTAGCGGATTTGGATGATTTCTTAGCTTTGTGAAGTATTTCGTCCTGGTTCTTTCAATTTCAGTTTAACCAGTAAAATACCAAGGTCTTGATGAATGTTAACGTTACGAACGTACCATGGTGCGCCCGTTAGTGCTTTTAAAATTTTAAACTGGAACCTCTGCATTTAATAAATATTAGTTGCACAGGTCGTACCCCACAGTTGAATACCATACATCCAAATTGGTTTTAATGCTGCGTTGTAAATAAGGACTTTGTAGTCTAGTTTTAGATCGTAGTTTTTATTTAAAAGCCAATTTATTTAAGCTTTTAATTTCATAGGTAATATTTTTGTAACATAATTTACTTGGGGAATGTTTATACCATTTAAGCGAATTGCAGGACATGATTATGGTCTTAAAGTAAATGTAACGTGTTTACACTTTTTTCATTAATTTTAATTCTCCAGTTTTTTGGCCATTCTTCGATGAGGAGTAAATGATCACTAATAGTTTTTGCTGCTCTTTTAGGGCATTTATCCCGGCATAAAATAGCTGTGTCATCCGCAAAGGTAGATGTCTGCACTTTTCGGTTTAATGGGATGCCCGCAGTGTATATGGTATATAAAATGGGCCCGAGGATGCTACCCTGCGGAACACCTGCTTTTACCGGATACTCCTCACTGATAAATTCAGATTGTTTAATGGTAAATTGTCTGTTAGTCAGATATGACTTAAGTATTATATAAAATTGAACAGGCAGAGCTTTATGTATTTTGTACAGTAAACCTTTATGTCAGACTTTGTCGAACGCTTGTGTTACGTCAAGAAAGATTGCACAACAGTACTCCTTGAGCTCGAATGCCTTCCTGATTTCATTAAAACCGAATTGGTGATCTGGTATCACATTGTTACGATGGAGAGAAGGAGATATTTTTGATAGCAAAATATTTTCCAAATAATTTGGAAAGACTGGGTAGTAGGCTTACGGGTCTATAAGAAGCCGCTTTTGTGTGGTCCTTACCTGGTTTGGCTCTCATGAATATCTGCGACTTTTTCCACGCGTTTTGAAAGTAATTTAATTTTAGAATGGCATTAAAGAGTTCAGAGAGCAATGCTTGTGCAACTCTTGGTAGCTCTATTAGCATTTTATATGTAATGAGGTCGTGGCCTGGATTGATATTTTAATTGCCACCTGATTTTCCTGACCGTTAATACCAAATTCCGGCAGAATAAAATTATTAGTTGCGTCATTTGGCTGAAATACATTACTTAAATGCTTTGCAAAGCAATTTGCCTTTTCTTCGTAACTACGTGTCCAGTTACCATCTGGGTCCCTGATTGGCATATTCATTTCTATTTGAGGCTTCAATTTTTTTTTGTGCTTTCCACAGTGAGTATTTTTTGGCAGATTTTGGCGCTAGTTTTTCTATGTATGCCTTGGCATTGTGATCTTCTGCTTGTTTCAGTACATTTCATTCATTTACATTCAGCTTCCTCTCTGCTGCTTCCAACCGTAACTTTGCTGCTGGAGAGCCATTCTCTCCGCAAACGGCGCTTATTTTTTATCACT